AAAAACAACCTTTTTTATATTATCAAACTACATGTAAATTCAATATAATAATATCATATTTTTACATATTATAAAAAGATTTATTTAATAACTATTTGAATATATTAAAAATCGGGAAAAACGTAATTTAAAAATCGTTTTTCCACTTATTTGACCTGTAAGGTAAGCAAGCCATGATATGCAGTATTTTTCGGTTGAAATGATCGAAATAATCAATTTTTAAAAGTTCGATGATTTATTTATTAAAAAATATATGTAAAGATGATTTTTTTTGTAAATAACCATGACTCAGTGAGTTGCACATATTAATTCTTTTATTTTATTTTCTTTACAATCTTGTAAGTACATTATTTTAAAAATATTAAAATAATCCAAGAAATTTGAAATACTATTTTCTGTAAAAATGATTACAATTTTCAGGTCATTTTATAAAAATAACTTTTAAATTATACAATTTTAAAAAGGTTAAAATAATTTAAGTAACCAATTTTCTAAAAAGCTTAATCATTTAATTATTCAAAAAAATGCAACAATTTAATCATTCAACATAAAAAGAATTAAACAACTTATTCAATGAAAAAAAAGTTTAAAAACATAATAATTCAAAATGGAACAATTTCTTTAATTTTCTGAATTTTTTTCTTAATTAAATTTAATATAAATGGTTTATATAAATAGCTGATCAATTAAAAATAACTAATTAATCATAAAAATCAACTTTTAGATTAAACTATTTTAAGTTTTTAAAATAATTACAATAATACTTTAATATTGATATATATTATGTAATATAATAGTAAATATATATATATATATATGTGTCTGTGTGCATATATATATATAATATATAAGTGAAGATAAAAAAAATTATAATAATAATATAAATAAAAAATATTATATAATATATGTATGTAAAGTATATGTAGAGGGTATATATATAATTATATAAATATAACTTAATTGATATATGTATATTAAATAATAATAATAATAATTAAATATAATATATTATTAAATCGATTTTATGTTTCATAGGTTCTAAAGATGACACAATTATCAAATATTCAACAACCCTATTTAAGGGGGTGCCATTACACTCCCCTATAAATATCCATACGACAAAAATAAAAGTATGTCTAACTTATAAATAACCGGATTAAATAAATAACCATGTATTTCATTGTCGAGATCGTGTTAATAAACGAACTTATAAATATTGAATTTTTGATCAATGTATAAATTAAAATTATTTAAGGATTACGAGTTAAGATATTATTTTTTTTGGAAAATCATTCTGAGTTTCACAGGGACTTTGGTTATCGACTCTCCTGTCATCTGGTCACCAGCTTCCTTGACCTTTCAACACTAAGCAAATGTCAGCCCACATATATGGTCTTAGGAGTTTTTTTCTTTAGAGATTTCCAAAATTTCACTAGTGACACCTCCGTGACTTGCGGATGAGCTAAAAGACAAAAAGAAGAAAAAAAATTCATCCAGGTCCTTAAGTGAGTGAAAAGTGATTTTTTTGTCTTTTAGCTCATTCGTAGGTAATAAAGTTGTTACTTGGAGAGCTATTGATAATTTTGAAAATTCTGGAAAAAAAAAGTAAGAGGTGAATTTGATATAAAAAAAATAAATATTTCTATTAGGGTGCGTTTGGTTTGCAGGAATATTTATGAGGGATTTGGATTTCCAGGAGGGATTTGGATTCCATGGGATTTGGATTGGATTTAAAATTCATTCTTATGTTTGGTTTGCAGGATTTGGACATAATATGACCATAGTGTATACCATGAACTTCAATTATATATCTTGAAGAATCATAAAACTGCATATAGAAGTTGACTAGAAATAGCAAAATTCCTATGATCATGCATCTGAAGAATCAGTTTAAGCAAGCATATAGCAATGACGATGAAACCATCATATGTACATAGCACACTTAAACAAAAACTATATACTTGAGAAAAGTTTTCATCAAACAAGGAGGACTACTCTGTTCATACCTATTCAGATTTAAGCATCTACAAAAGGTGTTATATGATTTACTTGCTGAGAGTGATGCGAGAAGGCGGCGAACAGGAAAGACGTTTTGGCTCAAGGGGTTTTGGCTCAAGGCGGTTCAGGGCGGAGCTTCGCGAGGGGAAAAGGAAGGGAGCACCGGCGAGACGACCTTAGGGCACAGCTTCGCAAGGGACGGGAAGGGAGCACCGACGATGGAAGGGAAGCGATGGGAGGGAATATGGGTGAAGGAAGCGGGAGGAAAGAAGGGAGACACAATAATCGACAAGAAGCGATGGGAAGGAAAGGATTGGATTTGAAATCCCGCCCCTTTGCAAAGGATTTCCAAATCCCGCATACACTGGATTTTAATCAAATCCCTGGATTCCAAATCCCGCATACACTGGATTTTAATCAAATCCCTGGATTCCAAATCTCTTCTATTTGGCAAACCAAACATAGGATTGGAATGGATTTAAAATCCAAATCCCCCCCAAATCCATTACATTCCTGCAAACCAAATGCACCCTTAATTTTTTATTATCTTTTTACATTTCTAGTACTTAGGGGTTGTTTGAGATTGCTTATAAAAATAACTTATTAACTTGTTCCGGTATGGCATCGGTAATAAACACTTTTGAGTGTTTGGATAAATAACTTATATCGGTGTCAAACCGATAATAAAGAGTTTTTAAATAAGTTAAACCTTTCTGACTTATAATAAATTTATAAGTGTTTTTATAGAAAAACAAAGTTGTTTCAAACAAGCAATCCCAAACACCGATTTAACAAAGATAAAATAAGATGGATATAACATTATCCTGCTTTCTAATACAAATCCAGGTTGACAAGGATTGGGTTGGGGTTATATGAAGGGATTAGGCAATGCCAATGACTCATCTCTCTTCGTTGTGGTACACGTACACAATGTTGTCTGTGCAGATGCGCCATAATTTTTTGGCCCACTACTTTCGGATTTCTTCCTTCATAGTCGGCTGGCCGTCTCTTGTGGTCGGAGGAGAAGGAAACTGGAAAAGGCCGACTTTCTTTCCACGATTGGCAGCTACCATCCAGATCGCATATCCTTTTATCAATTCATAGACCGCAGAAGAAGCTGCCGTCCAACTGTTTGTTTTAATTTCTCTGTAAGTTACACCCACTTTCATTTTGTTTCCTTGAGACAATCCATTTATTTTCTTATGTTTTGCATGCAATGAGATTATCTAGGCTACCTGTTTGTATGTTTATTTGAATGTAATAAGGATCAAACCACTTGCCATATTGGGTGTTCATTTCTTAATTTCTCAATCTTGCATTTCGGTCTTTATTTCAATTTTGGAATGTGGGTTAATGTTATATTTAATTAAGGTTATAGCAGAATCAGATGAATCAATGGTTTGTTAACTCTAATTAAACAACGTTGCGCAGAAGAATGTTTCTGGGCTCCTTATAAACCCTGGGGGGATTGTTTACGAGTTCATAATCGGCATCTAAGACTCCTTATGAACTCTTTTCTTTTTTGGATCACTTTGGATCTTTAGTAGAAGAACTTATTTGATTGAATTAAGTCGTTGAATCTTGATGATTGAATATAAATAGGCTATTATGAGCTTGAGGAGGCTACCATGGTGAAATTGATAACACATTCCCAATTGGTAACAGAAGTTTTTTTGAAAAATTATATATATTGGTATGTAGTAATTTGATTGAAGGTGTCATACTTCTTAATGCTGCGAATGTATATGGAAAAATATCTATGGTTTACAATCATTTCAAGAGTCTTAACTCATGAGGAGGATGTTTGTATATGGATGCTATTTCTGCATGTTGGAATTTTTGTCATAGTTCTTAAGCACTATGTGACATTTGCAACTTATCTTCACTAGCTTTCTATAGGATGGAGCTTAGTGACTCTACTAGCCTGAGTTACTGGTTGACCTGGAAGTTCCTTTTCTGTTTACTATCGGTCTTAGCCTCCGTGATTACAGCGTCATTCCTGATATGGAAGTATGAAGGTTCAGACAACACAGAAAGGGCTTATAATGGTGAAGAATGGATGCCATGTTGGAAGGGACTAAACCCTGTTTGGTTAATGGCTTTCAGGATCATTGCATTTTGTTTGATTTTAGCTGCTTTCATTGCTGATGTCGCTACTCATGGAACCAACTTATTCTACTATTATACTCAGTAAGCTATTTCCTGTATTGTCTCAAGTTACAACCTATAAATTGTGTAGCAGGTTGTGTGCTATTGATTTTAATTCTCTAACTCCAGGTTTTGATGTGTTTGTCTTCTGGACAGGTGGACTTTGATGTTGACGACCATCTATTTTCTGGTACTTTGTTGCTGGTTTTTTGAAGTTCTCTTTCAAAGATTTGACTATTCATTTCCTTTAAAATGGATTTTATACTACTTGTTCAGTTTGGATCGCTGCTATCGGCATGTGGGTGTTTCTGGAAAGACAAGATATTCAATGCTCGTAGCATAGATATAGAAGCCGAGCAAGGGATTCATGTGTCTCTCATCCACGCAGGAAAGGAAAAGGCTGCGAGTCAGCAGGGGGAATGTTATTTCTTGCAAAAAGCTCGCTTTTGGGGCCACATATTTCAAATTATATACCAGGTACTTCAACTACCAGATAGTCTGTGACTTATTTGGGAAAAGGACATATTTCCTCTTAGTTTTGATATAAAAAAGTGATTTAGAACTCTTAAGTTATTATGTATATATGATTTTCCTGATTGCTGTATACAGATGACTGCTGGGGCAGTGATGCTGACTGATGGTGTTTATTGGATTGCAATATTCCCATTCCTTACGCTTGTCGACTATGAAATGGGTTTTGTGAGTATTTTACTCATCTGTCATTATTAATACTTTTTTGTACATGATGAACCTACACAAACACACAACAATCGGGGAAGTTTGGTTAAACCAATAGCATACATACACCATTTGGGCATATAAATTAATTATGGGGATGATACTTGGCTTATTTGAGACTTTTCTTATGGGGTTTGACTTTTTCCTGTTCTCTCTTTTACCAGTTAACAGTTGTTGTGCATTCACTTAATCTTGTTATGCTGCTAGGAGACACAGCCATGAATAGATTGGTAAATTTTCCATCGTTGATTTGTTTCGAAAATGTTTTTCCTTTTCCTTCACTGGAACTCTGAAAATGATGTTATACCCTCGTTTCAGCGCTTCCCGTGGTTCCGGATTTCGTATTTCATCTTGTTTACTGCGTTGTATGTGATATTTGAGTGGATTGTTCATGCCTGTGTTGTAACTTGGTATGCGTACTATCTTCAACTTGTTCTGCATTTCAAACACAATCTTTCACTGGCTTATGTTTTACTTCTCTTCATTTCAGGTGGCCATACCCATTTCTTAATGTATCACAGCCAAATGCTCCAATCTGGTACATGTGCTCAAACATCTAAACTGTTAGAATCTGGGTATAGGGAATTGATGTATTGATGAAATCACTTGGATCGAAAATTGGATCGTGAACGGAATCATTGCCTTAGGGTTTTCTGGCCATGCTTTCTTAAAGACACCTAGTGCATGCCGTTTAGATTTCCGGACGCTGCCCCTTGATCCTCTTGCTGATTGGTCAGCAGGACCCCCGCTTTATGGCGATTTTAGGTCGAAGGTAGCTTATTCGAGTGTGCACTCAGCACCTCATAACTCATGTTATAGCTCAACCAATGAAACCCATCGATCTTGTGTATATTACAACTACACCAAAACGTTTGATGACACTAAAATCACCAACCAAGAAACCTCACTTCTAAACTGAGGATGAGAATTTCTGCTGACCTTCCATTTATAAATGGACCCTTAGTAATCCAAGTATAGGATTGGACTCAAAACATCTAGGTTATACATTTATAATTTGTTAGCACCCACACAATGATGATTGGAGGAGCCACAACAGAGACATGGTATTGATGTTGTATTTATCTGTTTTTCGCAATCTGTCTAAATCTATGGTTATGGTTAGGACTCTTGTTATATCTTGTGAATTCTGATGGTATTGTTTATAAGAAAATCTAGACAAAAAGTTGTCATTTTTAGGGTAAAATTGCATGAAAATGCAGCATACTTTGGTCCGATCCCTAATTCTATTTTGTGTAATGCATTTTCAAAATATACATATTGGTACCAGTACCACCTCAAATGTTATGGTATAATACCAAAGTATGTTCCACAAAAATAGAAATCAGACCAAAGTAGGTTGCATGTTCATGCATTTTAGATATAAACTGAAACTGATGTCAACATCTGGAGTAGCAGGATGAAGGTTGTGAAAGTGTTTAGTTTTGTGAGTTTATTCCTCCTGAACCTGTTAGCTTTGATTGTTGTTTTATTTAGGTACTGGGTGGTGGCAGCATTGCATCTTCCATGCTACGCCGTGTTCTTGCTCTTGGTGAAATTGAAGTACTTCATCTTGTCTCGATGGTTTCCTGAGTCGTCTGAATGTTTGAGATGACGTCTTTCGACTTCGGCGGTGGATTATGAAAGGTTGCAAATGGAAGAGGTGGGGTGAGGTGAGGTTAATTCTTCATGATATGCTAATTTCATACTCATTGACCGATTTAAGAATCATTTATAATTTTAGGACGTGGGAGTGAAAGTCGTATTTTCCTACTTGTCATGTGATAGATTTAATTTCCAAATGGTTATTTGAAAGGTGGAATCACCTCGTAATCAATGATACGTGCTTCTCTCACTTTCCTCATCATGCATAATCGTCTTTCATTGCGTATATCTATATTATCTTATAAAATAAATTTAACAAAAGTCTTAAAATACTAAATGATCAAGATACCATTTATATCACTTTTTCACCCCCTTCTCTCCTCACATACACTCACCCTCTTACAACCCTCGATTTTTTTTTAAATTATAATTTTAAATTTACACTTTATACCCCTATAATTAGTTAATTAATTTACTTTACGTCTTTTACTTTTAAATGTTTCATTTTAAACCTTTATCAAATTAATATACATAATCGTATATCAATTAAAACATGTTTAAAAAATACATTTTTATTTTAACAAGTTACACCATTATAATCGTCTTATTAATATCTTCGAAATGAGTCCAATATTGAATAGTTTTTBACTTAATTATATTATATATATTGTGAAATATTTTTTTTTAATATTTACGATTTATACTTTTATAGTTATTTATTTTTATATATACTGTATATTTTGGGGTTAGGCTGTCCAAATTGCACTGTATAATATGCTCTGAATTATTATGTTCTTGGGTTTTTTTGAAATATGTATATACATGTATTAATTCAACCTTAATCTGAGTTTCTGGACAAGAAAGAGGGTAAACAGTTGATATTTCATTCTAAAACCCATCTTTTTTGGTCTTTTCATGGCTTATGATCTGTCAAATTTGTAGTTTTCTTTATTGGTTTTGAGTGTTTATCTTAAAACTCAAGTTTCTTGATTCTTTGCTCTTGGTGTAAATCAATCACATTTGTGGAGTCGTTTAAATATGTTGAATTTTAAATATATTGGATTTTAAACCGTCATACAATTTTTTTTTATCAATAGTCTGTAATTGGAACTATAACTCTTATTTATTCAAATTGTATTAATATGTAAAGACCAAGTGTAACHTATATCATCGTTAAATCTTATCTTATAAAACCAGTGGAACTTCAAAATCGTTAAAATTCATGGCTCYYRCYGCATTGCACGGGTACACAACTAGTATATATATAAAACTTGGGATCATATGAGACCAAAGGTTTTTCGTGAGACTCATAAGACCAATTCTCAACCCTTGAATTAGATCTGCAATCTGAACATTCATAATCACAAAATTGCCATGAGACTTCTCAATAATCACAAAATTATTACCGTGCAACTTTAGACCATTAGATCATTAGTTTATGAAGTTGATCAATGAACATAAATTGGTCTTATGGGTCTCACGAAAAAACTATTGGTCTCACGTGAAACCAATCTTATATATATATATATATATATATATATATATATATATAGAGAGAGAGAGAGAGAGAGAGAGAGAGAGAGGTGTTAATTGCTAACTTTATAAATCACTTTTCACAAGGGTAACTTTAAGTGACATTTAGTATTTTTCTTTTACCTGATTTGGTATGGGTTTGTTGTGAAAACAATTTGTGTATACATCATATGCTTGTAAACTATTTGATGGAGACAAAGAGTCTATAGAAGACAATTAATTCCTAATTTCAAATAGTTGATGAAGGTTGTATGTGGTGATAGTCTTATCTGCCTTCTAACTTCTTATTGACTCTTCCCATACTTCAATTTCAATTCCAATTTTGCTTCATAACTTTTGAATGGTGATCTCTATTTTTGGGGTTTTAATTCGACACATGTCATATATTTTTCTTTATGGGTATTCGTAGTTTGTTTCTATTTGTTTACTGTTGAATATGAAAGACGCGAAACTTATGTTTATTCTCGTAAGAATAAGAGCTTGTTGAGTGGTAAATTGTATTTTTCCTTTAAAAGATGGTGTGTAGTTATTATTAAAGAGAAATGATACAACTTCATCATGGTAGAAACTGTATTTGGAATTCAGTGAAATTGAAACCTTAAATAATGGAATTTAAGTATGAAGCCGAATTAAAACAACTGAATTTTGAGTCTTATAATTCCATCCGAATTTAAAGTTACGAGTGTTTATAGTTTATTAAGGGATTTGGATTGGAATGGATTTGAAATCATTGATTTGTTTGATTTGTTTGATTTATAGGATTTGGAATGGAATTAAATTCCTTTATTTATAAAAATAATTAAATTACAATTTTATTAATCTATTATTACAAACAAATGTTTTTAGAACCTTCTTGCATACAATTCTACGAAATGCCGTGAAATCCCAAGCATCCCCTAAGGATTTCAAAATCATACGTTTGTAGAATTTCAATTAAATCATAGTATTTCAAATCCAGACAATCGAACAAACCAAACATATGATTAGAATGGATTTGAAATCCAAATCCTCTCAAATCCATTCAATTCATGCAAACCAAACGAGACCTATCTGTTTATTTTTTCATATTCCTATATACTATTTAAAAAATAATTAAACATTAAAGAAAAAGGTTTTTTTGTTTTTTTGTTTTTTTTTGTGAATAAGGGTTTTTTCTTTGTATGGAAAAGGTCGACATGTTACAAGTGGTTATTTGTCCCCTTCTCTCAATCTCATTTTCATTAAAAAATTATTATCATAACATTTAAAATTGGACAAGTATTGAAATTAATAAAGACAGTACATTTTTCTTGGTGAATCGGATCCAGATAAAGGAGCATAAAGTGAAATATTTTGAAACGATTATATCATCAAACGTCTAGCATTCCCTAATTCCCTCACACTTGGAGCCAATGAGACTTTTATGTTTTTTGAAAATAATTGCTGATGAAGTAATTGTCAAAATCCACGCGTCATTTTTATATAATAAACTGTAATTACAAATATTGATACGAATGACCTTATCTCCCAATTTGATCTTTATGTTTTTTTTTAGGGTTGATATCCCCACCCCCTACATCACTTTTCACCTCCTCCTCTTCACACCAACCCTTACTCACACCCTCACAACTTTCCCTCACTCTCACCCTCACATATTCAACCNCCCCCCCCCCCACATGCACCCATAGGAGGGGGTGGGGTTAGAAATTTTTTTTTTTTCAATTTTTAATTTAATTTTTGAAATTTTATTGATGAGTATATTCATACATGACATAAGGATGAAAATGGCGCCTTATTTAACGGAATGTTATAACGAAGTAACCAAATTGAAGATAGAGGGACTAAATTGTTTGTCGATTGGGTAGCGACCTATAAAACGTCGGCCATGTTAAGCTTGAATCAATCTCCTCCACCGATGGAAATGGAACCCCAAAAATTCTCCATTGCAGTCGACGCCGATCACAAAGCCACCCAATTCCGGCCACTCTCTCTCTCCTCTCCACACATGCGAGCTTTCCATCTCGCTTGGCTCTCTCTCTTCTCCTGCTTCTTCTCCACCTTCTCCATTCCTCCACTCCTCCCCATCATCCGTCAAGACCTCAATCTCTCCCCTACCGACGTCGGAACGGCCGGCATCGCCGCCTTCGCCGGCTCCATTATCTCCCGTCTCGCCATGGGCCCCGCCTGCGACCTTTTCGGCCCACGTCTCGCCTCCGCCACCCTCTCCCTCGTCACAGCCCCCATCCTCCTCTCCGCTGCATTCATCTCCTCTCCATTATCATTCATCCTGCTTCGATTCTTCGTCGGCTTCTCACTCGCCAACTTCGTAGCTAACCAGTTCTGGATGAGCTCCATGTTTTCCGGCTGCACAGTTGGACTAGCCAACGGCGTCTCCGCCGGATGGGCCAACGTCGGCTCCGGCCTGACCCAGTTAGTAATGCCGGTTATCTTCTCTATATTAAACACCAACTTCAATCTATCGCAATCCACTAGCTGGCGAGCTGCGTTTGTGGTTCCGGCCATCTTTCAAGCGATGATGGCACTTATGGTACTTGCCTACGGTCAAGACCTGCCGGACGGAAAATATAGAAAACATAAGAAATTACCCAATAAAGACTCTAACGATACCGGAGTGTTTCTGAATGGAATCACGAATTACAGAGGTTGGGTTTTGGGATTAACATATGGATTCTGCTTTGGAGTGGAATTGACGATGGATAACATAATTGCAGAGTATTTCTACGATAGATTTGGAGTGAATATGGAGACGGCCGGCGTGATAGCTGCTAGCTTTGGGTTTGCGAATTGGGTGTCGAGGCCGACGGGAGGGGTGGTTTCCGACAAGTTAGGGAGGAGGTTTGGGATGAAAGGGAGGTTGTGGGGGTTGTGGGTGGTGCAGACGGTGGCTGGGTTGCTGTGTATATGGTTGGGCCGAGTTGACTCGTTGTGGGGTTCGGTTGTGGTGATGTGTGGGTTCTCGTTTTTTGTTCAAGCTGCCTCTGGTCTTACTTTTGGAGTGGTTCCATTTGTGTCCAAAAGGTACCCACGTCTCAGAAATTGATACTCATCTATATTTTTCGTCTTTTTAGATGCCACGTTTTATTAATTTATAATATGATTAATTAAATTAAAATTGAGTATTTACATATGGATTATCTTTGGTGTAGATCAATGGGAGTGATATCGGGGATGACGGGAAGCGGAGGGACGGTGGGAGCAGTGGTAACACAACTCTTGTTGTTTTCAGGGTCGACAAAATTCTCAACCGAAACCGGGATCTCACTCATGGGAGTTATGATGATAGTGTCTACTCTTACGCTAACCACCATCCACTTCCCTCAATGGGGTGGCATGTTTTGTGCTCCTTCCTTCGACCACCAAGACTATCACCCGCTTGCCTGAACGAACAAACTAGAAGATTCTTCGTCGTCACGTCTAGCTAAAGAATGGTCTATTTTTTTATGTTATCCATCGTCAATTCCACTCCAAAGCAGATGATAGGTAAAAAAAAACCGAGTAGATTTGGATACGGATTTAGTTTACATAAAGATTGTAGCCACTCCAAAAAGAATGGTCTATTTTTTTAGAGCTTGAGAAATTCAATTAATATTGATACAAAAAATTCCGTTGCCGGGACTTGAACCCGGGTCTCTCGGGTGAGAGCCGAGTATCCTAACCAACTAGACTACAACGGAACGCTGCTTATCCTATTAATCAAAAGCTTAAGTCCACCAATTGAAGATTGTGATCAGCACAACATTTGTTTAATTCATTTTACTGCAGCCATTTTAAAATGTATCGATTAATAGTCAGTAATCAGTATTTTATTTAACTATATATCATATCTTGTATTTATTTTGTCATGCCAACCACCGAGTGTTGACCCCCCAAACCCTCTCCCAAAAGTTGGGAAAAGCAACCCCATGGTTAAGTATCATTCCGATGTTACTCGAGGTGAAAGAAAACACCTTATTGAGCCGAGTGAAATAGCATATTATTCGAGTTCGGCTCAAAAAAATTATCAAAATCGAGCTCAACTTGACCTTGATTAACTTTTTCAAAAGCCGGGTTCGAGCTCGAACCCAAGATTGATTAACACATTTATTTGCTCAAATTTGATAATTTTTATATTTTTTGATTATATAATTTGTCAACATATAAATATGTTTGGCTCGACTCGACTCGTAAAGCTTAATCGAGCTTTGGAACAAGTCAAATATTTACAATATGATACGAGCATAATCAATTTTATGAAGCTTGACTCATTAAGTTAAGCGAATTCTATTTTGTGTTTGAGATCGGCTCAAGCCCGAGCTTGAATAGCTCGTTAAAAGTTCTAACTTGTTTGCACCCCTACTCACAATCATATCCTACTCCAACCGTCTCCATATCTGATTTCACCCCTCAATCAATTTGATTCCGAATTCTAGTGTGACTTTTTCGATGGCATTAACTATTTGTAATATCATACAAAATAATCGACTTTCCATTGACATGAACAAATACAAGGATATCTGCACAGCAAAGTTGAAGACATTTGGAGGAGACTATTTGTTTGCCATTAAACGGGTGAGAGATTTTAGGTTCAAGTACTTTGTTGTGAACCTCGAAGCCGAGTTACAACATTCAATATCGGTTACCAATCAGAAAAAATAAAATTAGAATGCCGCTAACCAAGTCTTTTAAGTCCATAGTAGAGCAAAGTAGGACTCTCAAAAGTTTCAAGTACAAACCAATGTTAAAGAAAATGTCCATTCCCAGTTTTAACAACAAAACAATAGCTGGGCCGCTGAAATCCACCGCTGCAGCTTGCAGCAATCACCATGCAAGATCCGGCACGGGGACTACAGTCAGGGGGTATGCAACTGAAAAGTTCAAAAGGGCCACAAAGATATAAACAATGAAGCATATGGCACAATTCCAGGTACTAGCAATCAACAATGCCATTTCAAAACTTCAATAAACAATGAATGGATGAGATTTTGATTAAGAAAACAACATCGGAAAGATAGTTCAAGTCCTCGAAGTAACATCCAAATTTATTTTGAGGAATCTATAATCATAGATAGTCATAGACAAACGTAGACACAATTAACCACAACTGTTATCCCTAATTGGCATTTAAAAACTAAGTTTCGTCTTGGCAAACTGCAAGCATGAGATGAAATAAGATTGATCAATTGTTAGAGCTTATCTAATGAAGATTTGACGTACCATTTACCTCGCTGTACAACTCTGACAATTAAGCCATCCTCAATAAAATCGGACCAAGGTTTACTTGTGGCAAATGAAGTTTAACTGGCGTGATTACTTTCATCTGGTTCCTTATGTTGTTTATCAATGTCCTTCTGTTCAATTTTTTCAGATTCTCCATCTCCAGATGTAGCAGGTTTCTGGGAATCAGTTTTTGAGATTTCAACCACAGGCCCAACAGAAGCATCTGAATTTCCTTTAGAAGTGGGTAAAGGACTTTCTCCATTAGCACGATCTTTGCTGAGGTTGCTAGACTTTAGCCATGAAAATTGCAAGTTGTGACCATTCCAGCATTTACCACTTGAAAACGCCTTCTCAGCTGAATGCCGGGTTGTGAAATATACACGAGCTGAATATTTGGCTGTTCCAGGATCATTATTGCCATCAGCAGGATCCAGACTGTCTAGTTCCACCTTAGAAAGATCCCCAAATGGTGAGAAGTGTTCCTTCAAGACTGTAACCTGAACAACCCGTATATGTCAATTTACGTGCAACACATTATATCACATGCATATAACAATAACTTCATTGAATATAAGCAATCCAATAAAAAGCAGAGAGTAATTCTATGAGAACGGGAAGTTCTTCTGAGAAAGATATTGATCTTCTTGTTTATTTACATAATTGAGAGTTTATCATGATTATATGAAACTATATATAGAAACGATCAAAGTATGGGGTAAACTGTAATGCAGTAATCTCATGCCATAATTTATTATATGACGAACATGATTCACATCCATCATTATAATCCAAGCCTCAAAAACAGACCTTTATTTCAATAACCCAGGCCAAGAATATCTCCAACTCATCAACTCCAAGACAAGAATCTCCAGATCATTAAACATTCGATTATGTTGGGGACGAATAACGGTTCTTTATATCATTAAAACAAGATAAGGGATATCTCCTTCTTGCTCTAAAATAACAGGGCAACTGGCCTGCTTTCTTCTACTCATCAGTGACCTAGTCACCATCCATCTCTGGACACCCATTTTTATTTCGTTTTTGTCAATAAGCTAAACCACAACCATCATTGCACCTTGAAGAGGAACCACTACGACATGAGTCCATTTGTCCAGCTTCTAAAGTGTTGCTTGCCTCTTGAACCCATTAGATACACCGTTATAACTGAAAACTCGGGATACCTAACATACCAAAGCCTTTTACCTACCAGATCTAACATTGATGATAATCTTTTCTGAAAGAGGCCAGAGCTCAAAATTCATGTAAATTCAAGTAAACTATGGTTGTCTGGGAAAAAATGAGTTAAATAAGAATAAACAGAACATAAATGGCTTCCTTAGCAAGGCCATGAGAAGCATATAAAAGCTCAAATTCAGTTAAACGTCTAGCCAACATGTTCAAATATAGAAGTCCTGGTCACCTCTCAATTTGAGAGGCGAAGGATTAAAACCTAAACAGAACAATTTAAATTTTATATGAAGTTTAAAAAGGAAAGATGTATGATCATAAAAAAAAGTGATGCTCACAGGATACTTAAGTCATAGTTCTAGGCAGCCACCAAGGCACAGGTACTGATTAAGATATTACTAGCTAACAGAGAAATAAACTGTAAGCATAACAGTCACTCAAACTTAGGAAAATGTATTTTAGTTAAACATCGTTTATACATACATACATACATATATATATATATATATATAAAGATAAAATTAAGGAGCTAAGGAGTGAGGGTTTACATCAGCAAGATCTTTTGGTAGAGTTGAAATGATACTAAATGCAGTGGGACGGTTGTCCAGTTTGAACCGATTGGCTACAACTGATGGACCAATAGGTGCCAACGGACGAACTGATTGTTTCAAGACTGGCGATTCTTGCAGTGCAACTGTAGCAGTTGATTTGGAACTTTGTGGCATAGCAGACTCCAGATATTTTTTGCCATTACCTACGACTTCAGTTCGTGGAGAAGATAAAGTCGTTTCAGGATCACTGGAACTTGTGGTTGCAGCTTTCGTAGAATCAGCTACAGTTCCTAGTTTCTGTCTTTTAGCAGCCTTTTCAGGTTCTATCTCGCCTTTTAGACCTGTAGCCTGCAGACGAGAAAAGAATTAGGTCATTATTTAAATTAGACTGCTTCAAAAGACGATGCATCTCTATAGAAAGAGGTCCAGGCCGATCGGCTCAGAGCAACCAGTGAGGTTTCTCATTCATGACTGGGAGGGTCACATGTTCAAGACAAAGACACAGTCTCTTAACTCTTTGCACTTATGCAGAGGAAGGACTGCATACAAAGACTTCCCTCCCAGCCCTCTTTATGCCAAGAAGCCATGGTGCACTAGCTCACCCTCGGATGAAAAGAGGTCAGCTTGGTCGAGGTGGAATTCTAGAAGCAGAATAATCAACATGACACAGTCAATTTTTAGAATTCAAAGTGATTTCAAAATAAGAAGATAATAGGTGTATACTTGTTTCTCAAGTTTGTCCAACTTGCGCCTAAAGTCATTCCTCTTCTGATCAAGCATTTCTTGCTTTTTGCGGAGCTCCTCCTTCAAAACCTCTAAACTCTCCAGCTTCTTTTGTGAAGGTGGAGGTGCTTTTGGGCCTGCGATCACAGGCTTTGGTTGATCAGAAGCAGGCACAGCAGTGGAAGCAGGAGCAATTGTGCCATTATGCAATGCTGATGAAACTGCGATGCCACGAGGAGGTATAGGCACAGGATAGCCACTAGTTTTGTTAACAGGAATGTTATCACGATTAGCCCACCATAGCTTAATAAAGCGATTACCCATTACAGCATCAGGTGCAGTGAGAGCAGCTTCTGCTTCTTCTCTTTTGGAGAACTGGACAAAAGCTCGTTCACTATTTAAAGGAATGTGAATATCAATAACATCCCCAAATTTATGAAAATGTGAAATTAGGGATTCCCTTCTGTTCTGTTGCAGGGGAATACCATTGACAAATAATGTACATTGTGCCTTTTGAGAAAGCTTATGGACACTCTTTCCATTTCCACTCTGCATTTTCAGAGATGAATTTACATCTTTGTGCTTTCCGTGATGGGGAACAGCTTGAGCACTATTTGATAGCTCCTGCTTTCCAGTGGTTTCATTGTGGATTAAATTTGAAGGACTTGCTTTAGAAACCATACTCTCTCTCATTTCTGTTCTGTTTTTTGTACTATTAATTCTTCCCAACACAGAAGAACTTGTAGTCTGAGATCCCATAGCAGTCCCTCCACTTTTGCCCACATGTTCATTAGAGCCATCAAGCGAACCAACACAATGATTGCCAGATGGACCAGGATCCAACAAAGGCCCATTTTCCTTCGAATTAGATTGATTTATCTGTTGTAATGCAGGTGATGTTTGAGAATCATTACCCCATAGAGGCTGATCGGGATCATAAAAGTCAGCACCAACACTGGCAGAAGAATCAATGAATGCATCGTTTAAGCCCTGCCCATTGCCAGCCACTCCACGTTTACTAGTTTTGCCATGCAAAGCTTTGCCAGAGAACAATGAGTTTGTTGGGGCACCAGAGGCAGATAAAGGTCCTGGCCCAGCTGGTGCTCCAGGCACATTTGCATTTTGAAGTGATACTGGGAGATTAAACTGTGAAAGGCTCTGTAAGTTGTAAAATAACCAAAGAAATAACAGCAATTTCAGATATGCACTCTGAAGAAGATGACATGCAAAGACACAGTATGCAAGCCCAAAAGACCAATGTGTATTCTAAAATTTATCAATCCAGTTATGCATTTAATGTTGTAGATGGCCTGCAGACCAGTTTGTCTACAAGTCAAAGGTCATCAACATAGCAAAAAAAGGTAACCCTATCGCTGAGAACTGATCACTCGCTTGCTCATATTGTGAGTAGTGAACATAAAGCAACACTGAAGAAGTTCCTTATGCAAAGGTGAATATGCATGGAAAACAAATTTGACAAAGTATATAGCCAACAATAGCAGCAACCACAGGCATTTTTGGCAAAAGTTCTACAAAAGACCATAGAGACCGGATATAGGCATCGGTTCTTCATTAGGTACATTTGAATTTTTTGCTGTTCCCACCAAATACTGCATCCTAAATCTTAAAGATCCTGCATTTATTGTAAAAGCTCAAAAGACCACCATAAAAAAAGATGAAGGTGAATAAAGAAGTTCCTTTAGGAAGTTATAATATGAAAATAAGAAAGGTGGAGAGACTATGCTTATTTTGACTAGTTTTGCAAAGTAGTATTATATCTAATCTAACTGAGTGCAAGCTGAGCCTCTTTTCGGTTAAGTACAAAGGATCTCAGGGCACCAACAAACTAGGTTGGCCCCAAATAACTTCTACGCCTCCCCAATAATGTTCTATGAGTAAATAGATATATTGACCTGTATACGACCATTATCCATTCTATCCAGATTTCAGCACCCTCTAACATCAATTTACCACAGGGATGGATTTTATGATTTTGCTTCATGTAAAATATAGAGCGCATGAACGGTATCTCAGTAAAGAATACATCATACCTGAACATCTTCCACAACAATACGATTGACACCATGCTCCATTGGGCACATGTCACCTCTTAAGCAAAAACCTTGTTCCTCAAAGTCTCTACACCGTTGACGGGCAAGTCCCATTCCCATGTTCATAGAAGGATTAATAGATCTGTATGTTCCTTGTAAGCCAAGGGGATGTAGTGTATCCAGACCACCATTTGGTATTCCCGGAATCAACCCAAATGCACTCCAGGATGCACCATATGCATTTGAAACAGTAGGTACACCCCTCCCAGCAAACAGACTAGGGGGTACAGACCCCTGTTGAACTATCTGAGAAGCAATATCAACAGAGCTGAATCTAGAATCACGCTGGCTCCAAAGACCAGCATCCCTTCCTCTACCCCTGATTGGACCAGGATCCCCAGAAAATGTTTGGTTTACCCTGATTCTCTGGTTCAAATCCAAAGGTCCTTGGGAAGATTGTGTAAACCCAGGTCGTCTTTTGTCAAATTTGGCAGAGATATCTTTCTCCATAGGGTTGAAAGTATAATTTTTCCATGCTTCACTGGACTGAGAACCTGCTTCCCTGTAAATATGCCCATTTTCGGAAGGTTTGCTTCCCCTTCTATAGGGCTTAGTAAATACTTGTTCCACAGCATCTCCCTCCAGTGATTGAGACCTCGCATCATCTCTTCTACGATGCTTATGGTTGCGATCATCGTCGTCATCATCACTGATTTCTTTCTCATCAGGATTGCTTTCGGATACAGAAGGAGAACGACTTCGTTCCTGGGCTGAAACTTTAAGCTCCATCGAGTGCTTCTGATGATGGACAGCTGAGATTATTTTACGACTGACAGGTTCTAACAGTCACTAGTGGAGCCAATGGATCCACTTGATCAACCTGAAATATTCCTTTCTTGGAAAGGGGATGCTGCACAATGATTAACAAATTAAGGAGATAACATCAAAAGCTAAAAACCTTGACATTGAAAATAGATAATTTCAATCATCTAATGAAGTAGTTTACTCATTTATGTATATGCAAAACAGAGGGTACACCATATAGTTCTGGTCAAGGTTTTGTTCCTTGGTTTATGTAGATGAGGAAAACATGTTAAAGTTTGCAACCAGTAAACAGCAAACTAAAACCACACACTTCATCATATAGATACTTATATGTTCAATTCAGAAGTGGCAAATCATAAAAAAGAGAAGTCCGGTGGGCTCTTGAGAACAAGAAATTTCCTATGAAGCACGTTGATTTGATTATGGATATGTATTGTGAATTGATACTAGATTGAAAGCATAAACATTGAGAATAATGTATCTTTATTTAGCATTAAGCCCTTACATTTTTGTTTTCCTTTCATTGATATACTCAAAAAAGATACAATCTGAAATCCAATGTTGTTTGCTCTTTGACAATGATGTAGCATTGATTAAAGAGACTACATCAGATGTAGATACAATGTGAATTGAATGAATTTAGACTCAACTCAACTAAACATAGTACATGCATGACAACTTTTTTAGTGCTGCTATGATACAGATGTGGCAAGCATAAGATGATAAGAAGAAATAGGTATCTAAAATTAATGTTACAAAAGAATGAGAAGATTGACAATGATGCTACTAACAAGATAAGAATATAATGGATAAAAGAGTGACAAAAATAAAGTCTTGCAAAATGGAAAAATCCCACAAGTGTGGAAGGATGACTTTCGTAGAACAACTGTGACCTACTAACATTTTTGGGAAAGTGTTGGCAACTAAAAGGTAACATGTACATTGTGGCAAAATTGTGCTAGTTGAGGAGGAGATGTGGACATATGACATAGAAACGAGGATATTGGGGTAAGACTAGGGTCTCTAAACTAATATAAACCGATTTAACAGAAATAGAGAAGTCTAATCATCTCCAACGAGGATCTGCAGAAGAGAGATTCGTATGGAGTGGTGGGCATTAGGACCAAAATAGACTGAATTAACACAAGGGACTTGTCTATGAGAGTTTGGAAATTTGGAATTTATCTAGGCAATTGGTATGAATGGAGATTTGTATGGAGTGGTGGGCATTAGGACCAAAATAGACTGAATTAACACAAGGGACTTGTCTATGAGAGTTTGGAAATTTGGAATTTATCTAGGCAATTGGTATGAATGGATATTATTCATATTCGATAACCTTGAATCCTTTATTTTATCATCTTTGAGCAATAAAATACTTGGTGTTGCTAGACTGAATTAACACAAGGCTTGTTGATGGAATAATAAGTGGTATCTTACTCTTCATCATCCAATGCTATTATTCAATGTCGAGACTAAGAAATTTCTACCAAATCCCTGGAAGCATCTATTATTAATTTTAGCTGCAGTAATACCCTTCAACGACGACTGAAACATACAATCAGAATACAAAAGGTCAACAAATCTTTTAGTGGTAGGGGATAGAGTAGTACTCATCGAAGACAAAGGAAAAAATTAACATGAACTTTCAGTGTACTCATAACTAACCATCTACTAACATATTTCCCGAACATTAAACATGAAATGGAAGCCCCAGATTGGTTGTCAAAGAGTTTTTAGTCCACAACCACCCCCAACTGCTGTACCTCAACACTCTTTAGACATCCTATATATAGAAGATAACGTATAGCACAATATACGTTCAAAATTTCGTCTATGAGATGTTGAGTGATCCTACACAGACAAAGATATATGTAACTACAAAGTATCTTATGAACCAATTTCAATCAATAAGATTAAATCAATAGATCGCATAGAGTACCAAATCCATCAACAATCATACATAACAACCGTAACAATTTCCCACACATAACAACAAATTAGAAGCACAAAAAAGAAACTAACCTCGTTCCAAGAATTTCACCTATTAGGGTTACGATTCTGTGTTTCCAGAATAATATTACAGCACTCTAGCTCCGGGTCGTGTCAAAAATGGAGGACCATATGTTTTACTTGTGTAAGAATACGTGTTAATGTATATGTATATCGCCTTCTCCTTCCTCTCTCCCTCTCTCTCTGTCTAAATTCTGCAGTTTCTCTCTCTAGGACGCAGGAAAGGTTTTACAGATAGGAAAGAAAGAAAAGGCTATGGTAAAAATTAACAACGGAAACCCTCGTACTTTTCAATACGTATGATATTGGCTTAATACTTTGGTCAATGTCACATTGAGCCCTCGGACTTTGCAACATGAATGGTGTCTTTAATTTCCACGGATAGCAGATTAGGCCCCTGAACTTTGGGTTTATATGACATAGTGATGGTCAAAAACCGGTCCCAAGATTTCTCATAACTGGTCCCGGTCCCGGTCGAAAAAGTTAAGCCCACTCAAGTTTTATGTAATCGGTTATGGGCCGTCGGTCCCGGTTATTAAAAAATATTTTTTTATTTTTATCTTTTTTAATGATTATATATTTTGTATACATTATAAAATTTGTAATTTAATCACTCAAATACACTTTAAAAATGTGTTTTATTATAATTAAAATTATATCGTCTTACAAAATATAACGAGAAACCGATAATTGTGAACGTTGTTTTGTGTTTTTTACGAATCGAGAACTTGGTATGTAAATCACTCAACCAAGACACTTATATATATTGTTTTCAGAAAGCAAAAAATACAAAAAAAAAGGGACCAAAACAAGGCTAGTTTTTTGAAAAATAACGGCTAAAAAATAGCTATATTTTTAAAAAATCGGGCCACCGGTCCCGGTCCCACGAAACACCCCAAATCCATAACCGATCTCAGATTTCGGTCTTATAACCGGTCTTTACGGGTCCTGGTCCTCCGACGGTCCCGGACTGGGCCGGTTTGGCCATCACTAATATGACATATCGAAGAAAATTGGTACTAGGGTGTTATACAGGGTGAGTTTGGTGTTCAGACAAGATGACAGAATAAAACGATTGTTCAAAGTTTGATAAAAAAATCAGACAAAACAAAACAAATAAAATCACCAATTTATCTGTAATTATATATTTTGATTAATTTATATAATTTATTAAATTATAATATAATAATCATTTTTTATAATAAAATATATCAATAGAAAGTTTTTCGTTAAAACAATTAAGATGACACCAAAAGAAAAGGTTTATGTATTTTTTATTTTTTATTTTTTATTTTATCTCTTTTCTACATTATTTTTTATTATTAATATATAATAAATTACATATGTCAATAAAAATATAGAAACCATATAAAAATAATATTTTGAGGACAATAAACAATCACATGTTATACTATTATTCCATCACATATGATACACATATAATACTAAATCAGATACGCGAGCGATTTCAGCGCGAACTTGGTTGCGGGCCAAGTCGCCCTTACACCACTAATTAAGCCCCCTCACATGTATTATCACATGTGATAATTGTGTTGTTGATATGATATTATAATCAATCAAGATCATCACATGTGATGCTAAATCATAGACACATACAACTTTTGGCGCAACCTTAGTCGTAGAACACGTCTTCCGCATACCACCAGGTCCTCTCACGCGTATTATCACATGTGATAATAGTGTTATCGCGTTCTCGTAAAATGGAGGTGTTATCGTTTGAACCTCCACCTATGTATGTATGTATGTATGTGTGTATGTGTGTGTGTGTATATATATATACTATATTAYAAAACAATTGACAAAAACTCTTAAAAACCATTTTTTATGCACGAAATATTGTTTATTGATGCATTATTACTTAAAAATTAATATTACAAGTAAATTGTGCATAAGTACGATTTATTAAAGCTTCATATTTGAATTCGTGTAAATAACTGCAGATAAACATAATCAAATATTGAATAAATATCTCATTTTAAATATAAAAAATTTAAAATATAATTAGGATAATTATTGAGTTCTAACAGAATATTTAATATTATATTTATAAAAACTACTAAATCTAAATTAAGTTATATTTAAAAAAATTGAATTAAGAAAATTGCATCAAAACACAAGAACTTTTAGAAAGATTAATTTGATGCTAATATCAATATATATATATATATATATATATATATATAATTTTATGATATTTTTAAATTTATATTTTATTCAAAAATAAAAACATTATCGTTTTCTCGAAACCACATAAAACCGTATTATATTAACATAAAAGGAATAAAACGAAACACTGAAATCAATATATGTCTCGATGCATTGCACGAGTACCATTCTAGAAGGGTACTTGCGCAATACAGTACTTTGTGCATAACAAAAATATATCGATATTTGTATCAAATTAACTATTTAAAATTCCTCATTTTTTGTGTAATTTTTTAATTCAATTTTTTTATTATAATTTAATTTATGTACAATAACGAAGTAATTTATATTTGATTTAATAGTATAATTTTCTTATAAATATAATAATTAATTAATTTGTTAGAACTCGATAATTATCCTAATTATATTTTAGATTTTTTATATTTTAAAATAATAAGAGATATAAATTCTTTAGTAGCGTATTCAATCAAACGGGTAAGATGTTTATCCTTTATTTGATTATATTTATCGCAATTAGTTATACGAATTCCAAAATCGAGCTTTATAAGTTATACTTTTGCATAATTACTTGTAATCTTAAATTTTAAGTAAACAATGGTTTTATGTAGTTTTGAGAAAGTGGTAATATTTTTATTTTTGAATAAAATATAAATTTAAAAATATCATAAAATTTTGAAAAAAAATATCGATATCTATATTAAATTAATCTTTTTAAAAGTTCATGTGTTTTGGTGTAATTTCCTTAATTAAATTATGTTAATTATCAATGATTATCATAATTATATTTTAGATTTTTTATATTTAAAATGATATATTTATCCAATATTTGATAATGTTTATCTGCAGTTA